GACCTTGGGGGCTACCTTACCGGTCCATTCCTTCCGATTAATCTTTCACCAAACTGATCATTAAGTTCACCACGTACTAATTCGTTGTGGTGCGCAGGAGCACCGTCATGTATAAACCACATTTGTTCACGTATATTAAATGCAACCTCTTCTAATAATATCGGTAACTGATTTACGTAGAATCTAAACAAATCTCACCATTTAAGTTCATCTTAAAAAAAAATATGGTCCTACTACATGCTTACCGACGATACCTCCACACACATTTAGAGACCATTTTGTTTGACTATGTGTTACTATGTGGTATGGATTACTTGTTGAATAGTAGTGAAAGTTATGCCTATTAACAGAACCGTTTCGATGGAATGTAGCTTCATCATCAAATAGGACATAATCAAAAAAATCTCTCTGCTCATTAATTTTTTCTAAGGTCCGTTCATAAAATACTATCTATTCACAAAATACTAGTAATTAAACTTTGCGATGATGATGCTAGTAATTTTTTATGTACCTCACAATATCCTGACATGCAGTTCCGCAGCTCACGTTGTAATTTAAATGCTCGTTCAGAATTCGACTCATTTATAATAAAATGATTTTCTAAAAGTTGAAGACCTTCTCGAATTAATTTGGCAGTGAGGGGGGTTGATTTTTCTTCCTCATCATTATCATCTTCTAGACTCACGACGCCATATAAAGTTAGATATAAAGTTTGATCAATTATATCATGGTCACTTAATGCATCATCCACAAGCAAGTCAACTATATCATTGTGGCTGAATATATGAAAACCATGGACGTATAAATACGTCCATGATGAAAACCACCTCTGTCAAATTCATGTGCCAAATTAATTATTTCATCTGATAGTGTCTATGTTTGAATGGTTGCATTGCGTGCAACACACGCTGGTCAAACCTTTTCCAAAAAGCATTTATAGTTCTTGGTCTTGTTTGAGTGGAAGCAAATGAAACATGAATCAAACAATTAAAAAGAGAAAATTGCTTCCACACGTTTTTTTACTGTTAGGGCTCATTTTCTAGTTTACTCACGATGGATTTGTAAGTTACTTTTGTGTAATCTTTATTAAACGTTGCAATTATGCCTTGATCTAATGGCTGAATAAGGCTTGTTATATTGGGCGGACATGAAGGTTTGGATGTTCTAAGTGTGGATGATCTGCTGTATTGTCAATAATTAATAAAACTTTAAAATCGAGAGATTTTTCCTTCATATAAGCTTTTGCTTCTTGCACGAAGCAATTATTAAACCATTCTGTAAAAATAGCTGTTGTCACCCAGACTTTCTTGTTAGCCATCCAATGCACTCGTAGTTGTTTTAAATATTTGCCTTTTAAAGCATGTGGTCTAAGAGATTTATTTATTAAGAGCGGTTTCAACATCCGATCTTACTGATCCATTGCTACAAAGTAATAATGTTCTCTATCTTTACTTGCTTTATGTCCACTTGCTGTTTTTTTGTCCTTTGCGATGTAAGTACGGTTAAGCATTTTTTCCCAAATTTTTACATTCCGTTTCATCAGCGTTAAATACTTGATCGGCACAATAGTCCCCATCTTCAATAATTTTCGCTAGCTCCTCTGAATATATTTTTGCTGCTACTTCATCTGCTGTAGCACTCTCTTCTGTAATCTTGATATTATGAAGTGCATTTCTTTTTATAGACTTGGTTAGCCATACTTTGCTAGCTGAACATTCTTTACCAGCTTGGGAAGTGGAAGTTGGTGGCTCTGACTGTTTCATTAACTCATAAAACTGAAGAGCTTTTTCTGGATTAAATAACCACTTACAGGAATTCTTCTTTGAATTAGTTCCTCAATACAAATTGCAATCGCTTTTTCTGTTCTTCCTAATAATACATCCCTTGAGTAAGATGAAAATTTGTCGCTTAATTTTAAACAACTTATTATAAAATGAAGCAACTATAAGAGAAAAATTATTTTAAAACAATAATAGGTTCATATCTACAACAGGTAAATACCTTTCAATGCGAAACTCGCAATGATGTAATAGGGACATCATGTAACAAGGAAATCCCCGAAGTCTAAACGCTCTCTTTATTGACATCTGAATGAGAATAGTCAATATATTTAATTATATTAGTTAATAATAGAATTTTTTTTAAATCCGCATAAGAAGAGACCTTAGTGTTTAAATAAGGGAGCATATATTTTTATGCTCCGCATAAAATTCATATGGGTAGGTCAAATTAGACCTTTGAATTTTTTGTGTGAATAAAACAAAAAATAAATGTACAAAAGTGAAAAAAGTAGCATATTGCTAAAAATAAAGCTATAAAAACAAACAGAAAAATACATTTTCGTGTCTTGAGGAGCCGTGTTTGGTGGCATTCGATAGATTTTTAAAAAAATATTAAACACCTCTTTTTTGGTTTTTCATTTAAGGCTGTTTTAGCAGTCAAAGCACACTGCGATTTGAAATGGTAGTATTACTTACTTTTCTACACTGCTTACGCCAGCCGACGACAAGCTGTTTACTCAGTATCGCCGGCCGACGGGTAGTTTAATGACAACAAATGCATTATTCTCCATTCAAATTAGTTTTGTCGGGAATACCTTTTTTGATTGATTATCGTAGATGTTTTAAAAATAATTATCACATTTTTAATTTATATATCTTAGCTAAATATAGTATTGAATAATTTGTGAAACGTGACTGCAAAAAACTTCATGGTGTTTATTTATAATAAATTTAAAATAACATAAAAATATTATTATCAAAAAAAATACAATTTGTTGTCACAAACAAATAAACAATTTCGCAGTTATAGCTTGGAAATGATTTCAAATCGAACTAACTGACTGTACGTTCATGAATTTGACGTCACGAAGCCGATAAACGGTGAAACTAAGTGCCAATGATGAGTAACACGTTTCACTATTAGATTTCAGTATTTTTTAGCAATTTTCTTCAAAGTTTGAACACGCTTTTGTAGATTATTACTGGAAACAGAAAGGTGAAAAAAAAATCAACGATTACAGAAAAAAAAACTCTTTCAAGTGATGGGTTTGGTTATAAAAAGTTTGGTTATAATAGAACGTTAAACTGCATAATCCGATATTTCAAAAGAACTTTCAAAAAAAATTAAAAAGCAAAACCAGTTTAAAGTTTAAACTGTTTTTTAAAACACTTTAAAAATCAGTTTAAAGGCAACATAATTTTAAATAACGTGTCCCAATTTCGAGTCATTTTGTCCGTAAATAACAGAGAAAACATTGTCTCTAGGTTTTGGTGTACCGATAAAACAGCATTAACAATGTATTTCTCTCAATCTGCTATATAATTACTACTCTTATCTACTTAAATCTTGAATCTCAAAGTGGTATCTGTTTTCTGATTTAATTGTTTAAAAATTGTTATTTGTGAAAACAATTATGCAAATTAGTTTTAAAAATTACATTGATAGTGATTCATTATTTTCTAAATATTTTCTGAGGTCACAAGATCACAACATTTATATATATTTACATTTTTTATTACAATATTTTTATAGAGTAATTAATCATTAAAATAACAAATTAATTATATTAAAAAAAAATCAAATGTGATTTAAAAATAAGATTAAAAAATGGTCAGTAAATTATCAATAAAACATAATGACGGTATTAGATTTTTATTTTGATGCAGGGCGGCGGCAAGCCGCTTATACGTATTTCAATCTCTTTAGGTATCATCAGAGCGGCATATGCCACCGCTCTGAATCGAAACCAAATCTATCCCGTCGTAGGACAATAATTATCTAAATAATTATTTACAGACGTAACTACGCCATCCAATATCAACAAGAGAAATTACAAGATCTCTTACCTAGCGAAACTGATGCTTTCTACAACTTGCAAAGCAAACAGATTGGTGAATTGGTCGACAAGGGAATCTAAAAAATGTATTCCACAAGCTGGTTATCATGGGCAAAATTCATAGTGAATTCAGTTTCTGGTATAAACAGAGTAAAGAAATAAAAGATATTGACGGTATAAGATTTTTATTTCGATGCAGGGCGGCGGCATACCGCTCTGATGATACGTAAAGAGGTTGAAATACGTATAAGCGGTTGCCGCCGCCCTGCATCGAAATAAAAATCTAATACCGTCATTATGTTTTATTTCTTTATTCTGTTTGAAGTACCAAAACTGAGTACGAATTTTATCATTGCTGACCAATTTGTCAATCTGTTTGCTTTGCCATTTGTAGTGGTAATGATTTGAATTCAGTTTCGCTAGGTAAGAAATCTTTTAATTTCTGTTGTTGTTATCAATTTGTGTTTGAACAATAAAAAGAAGATAATCTACAGTATAACAAGTCTACACTATTAAATAGTTATGGACATACAAAAGCTTTCGACACAATGAAATGTGGAGCTCCATTTCTTTGTAAATGTAACAGTACTAGCAAAATCCAATTGATCGAAAACGTTTCATAGAAAACAGTAAAAATAGAAAACCTTTCAAGCTCTATAAATATTAGTATAAAATTTACAGACAAAGTAACTCTTCGAAAGCAATATTATTCACTAGGATTATAGAGGAATAATACAAGCATACATGGGAAGCATATTTACATGTATGCAGGGCCGTTCCGGCCATGGGAGCTGTGCACCCGGGACGAGAGACAAGGGGCGATGTGAGCTGCACTATAAATAGGGAAGAAAGGTTGAATTTAGGAAAAGAAATTGTAATTAAAATTTAAATATAAATGTTATAGTTTAGTTCGCAGATTTACGTAACCAAATGAGTGAGTCAGGTTCCTGCATATGGGAATATGGGAATTTTTCTGTTAAAAAAAGGAAATATTTTATATTTCTATCGGATCGGTACCCGCCCGAGAAACCCCAGTCGCTCGGATATAATGAGTGACTCTTCGTAAAGACAATGAAGTCGACTGTAATTAGTAAATTACATTACTCCGTGGAAATTGAAAATTTTGTTTTTGGTATTGATTTTTGTTTTTTATAATTTATAGGTACCTCCAGCGGGGAAACGAAGACAACTCGCTATCGCACACGTAAATATGCGAAAGTACGCCAGCGTAGAATCAACACAAACCGAACTTCAAATAAACTTTAAGCCAACTACCAAAAAAATTACAGGAGCCAAGCTGGACTGCACCTTATCTTGCGTATTCCTTAGAGAAGGCAAAGCTACGTAAGTTAAACTTTTTTATTTAATTTATAACTTTTTGTTATTGCTTTAATCGTAACTTTGTTTACCTTAGTTTTTATCCAGTTTATCCATGATGTGTTCTTATATGTAATTCCAGTTTATAATGGATAAACATATTGGGCTTTGTTTGGGCTTTTTTTACAGAGACAGGTCAAAAGATAATTTGTAAACAACGATACAAGTGGAATATATACTTTATTTTTCTATTCTTTTGTTAATTTTTAATCAGAGTATATACTTCTTTTCGTTCCTCTTGTCTATTTATAAAACGTAATTAGATATTAAACGTTTTCTTATTAGTCAAGGTGAAAAGCTCGGGTTCGTGTTACAACAAAGTACCATCTATCCCACGCTACTGGTCACAAAACGAATCACTTTCGAATTCCCTCATAAAAAAAGCTATTTCAAGAGATTGCTGTTTATTCCTGCTATCTAAGTCGTACTATTATAATCCTGAAAGAAATAGTAATACATCAAAAACATACTATATCGATGACGTGGTTTCTTGTTTAAAACAAACTTTCGTAAAAGCGAGGACTGAGAGTTCCCATCAGTCCATCGACGAATCAATGACTAAGTTCAAAGGAATATCTGCCTTGAAGCAGTATCTTTTTATGAAGACAGTAAAAAGAGCTATAAAAATGTGGCAACGAAGTGATTCTTTCACAGGATATATATCTTCTTCTTTCAGTGACCTATCCGATTATCGAACGTTGGCGATCATATTGGCAATAATAACTTTGTTTACGGCGGCTCTAAATAAATTAGTGGTGGCCTCTTGATACCATTCTCGGAGATTTCGGAGCCAGGATGTTCTTCGTCGGCCTGGGCCTCTCCTTCCGGCGATCTTACCCTGTATTATGAGTTCGATCAACACAACTTATCCGCAATACTCGTCGATAAATCCACATCTCAAAGGCCTCTAATTTTTTCAATAATGTCTCTGTAAGGGTCCAGCTCTCTATACTATACAGCAATGTGGAGAATATGTAGCAGCGTATTAATCTGATGTTTAGGTTTAACGTAATATCTCTATTAATTAGAATTTTCTTAAATTTATAGAAGGCTGGTCTGGCTTTGTCAATGCGTATTCTTATTTCTTTATTTACGATAGGATATATATACGATTTTTAATATATACTCGAAAAAAGAATCCACGCCAACTACTGGAACCCTAGGAAAACAAATTGTTGAAACTCTAGCCAACACCATACGGTCAGCAGATGTGTGTCTATGCTTTGATAGATTTTTCACTTCGTTCAACCTACTAAACGCCCTAAATTTTCCGTGCTTAGGAACCTATATGGTCAATTGGGTAAATGTAGCTAAATTTGATAATAAAAAAATGTTAAGAGGTGACATGGTGTTTTTAGTTTCATTCGAAGGAATTTTAGCAACTAAATGGAAAGACACGAATGAAGTTATGCTGATGTCCAATTGTCACAGTACAACTGTTGGAATTATCAACAGAAAACTGAAAACTGGAGAAAAAGCTAAGTTCACTTGTCCAGAAGCAATTATTTGTTACACTAATTTTATGGAAGGAGAAGAATTTTTATCTTACCGATCAAAACGTTAGCACATATGATATGGACCAAAAATCTGCGAAATGGTGGAGAAAAGTTTTTTATAGATTAGTCATGTACGTTATTGTAAATTCTTGGATTATTTACAAGGATTTGCATAAAAGAAGTTCACAAAAAGATAATACGAAATTTTCACTTTTGAATTTTCTCATGCCACTAGCAGAACAGCTAATTGAATTAGGAAGAACGAAATCAAATGTAAAAAGACGAATAAGTGGCCGTTCTGGAAGAATATCTAAACGACAGAAACATATGATCAATGTTGAAAACCATTTGCCACAACAAATACCTACGAGGAGAAGGTGCTTTAGATATTCAAAAAATAAATCAGAAACTCGAACTACGACTATTTTTACAGGGTGCAATGTAACTATGCAAAAATTGTTTTTTGCCACATCATTCATAAGATGTAATGTTTTTTGTGTAATGTACCTTTTTTCATTTTGAATATAAGTTTGTTTCTTTACTGAGGGGATTTATTTATCCCACCATTCAACACTCATGGGACATATATGTCCCATATCCTTTCTAAGGATACAAGGACACGCAACAATGTAAAAAAAATAAATCCCTTCGTTAGGTCTCCAGGTTTCAACGAATATGAAATCAGTAATGAAAGGGTTAAAGTTGGGTTAAACAAGTTTTGAATATTACCTTTTCTCTGGTTTCGTTCATGACCCATATAATTTTATTGTCGAAGTATTCTTAATTTGTATCCACAATTTTGTGTTACAGGGACGAAGATATGCAATCAATGGCTTCCCTTATGTCTGTGAACAATAATAGCGATGACATAGCTGCGTTAGAAGATGTTGAAGAGGACGATTTTTCATTAAGCGATAACGTTATGAAAAACAGTATGCACGAAGTGACACAACATCTTCAGTTAATGACGAATAGTTTGTCTGGATCGGATTTTGCTAGTACACCTATTAGTGGTAAGTGTATGAGAGTGGCAACAGAAATATTCAGAATAATATTGTAAAAATATTGTCTCCGCGACCATTAATATTTTTCATGTATTTTAATTTTATAAAATGTGGCAGAATGAATATTCCATTATTATTTTCAAGAAATACAGGGACTGTTGTGACTTTCAAAACTGTCAGTTTGAGTAAGGTTCTGAAGATATTTCCTAGTGACATGTTTTTTACTAAAAATTTTATACTTGGTAATAAACCAGAATTAATTGTAACAAACATTACATTTTTGTTTTGTTTTGTATTTTGCAATTTCCAAAACTGAAATCGTTTTTAAAAAAAAATTGCTGAAATAAAATTATTAAAAATTGGTATATCCTATAAATATTATTTTTAATTGGTGGTTAAATAAAAGAGAAATTTTGACAGTTAAAAGAACTTGGCCTCGGTTTTGGGGGCATCTGCCATACTTGCATGAGGCACATACACATCATTTAATCAACAATCAAAAGAAAACGCACAACGGATATCAACTGAGTTTATAATAACAGCTTTTCAGACTTTATTAGTGAGTTTTACATTAAAATATAAATTATGCCAATGATTACTATAATTTAGTGCTTTAAAAATGAATATTAAGAGTATTATGCACTGTTTAGGAATTGTCGTCAAATAAAGAAAATTTGCGATCACAATCCGGTTGTTTTGAGCAAGAGTGAAACTAAAGAATGTAAAGCATCCTAGCTCCAAGAAAATCATAGATACAAGGCGGCTTAAACAAGACACCACATATGCGGAAACGAAATTTAAAATAAACGAAAACCTAAGGAAATTCAAAGAAGATAATGTAGAAACTCTAACTATTGACCAAATATGGAGAAACCTTCAACATGCTCTTGTGTCAGTTGGAAAAGAAATCCTCAAACCACTTAGGGAAAAACAAAACCTTGGATGACAGTAGAAATTATTATGGAAAACGAAGAAAACATAAAGCAAAAGACCTGAATAATTATGAAAATATTCAGAAAATCATCAGAAAGAAAATTCGAGAGACAAAAGAGAGATGGCTGTCCGACAGATGCAAGGAAATAGAAGATGTGGATAAAAAGTATGATTTAAGCTTTAATTTACACAAAAAAATCAAAGAAATGACAAAGGAGGAAAATAATACAGGAGATATTATTACTGATATGAAGGACTGATTGTGTCACTGGACCAATTTTACATCCAAAAGCTATTTAATGATGAAAGAGAAGAACTATCATTAGAAAATACAGAGGATACCGGACCAGATGATGTGCCCTTTGGCATTATTCGGAATTATTAAAACTCATTGATGAAGATGTTATTGATGTATTGGTTGAATTACGTCCATGGTTGAACTCTTTAATCCAATATGTCAGACTTCCAGAATTCCCAGACAATGGCTGCAATCTACCTTTGTGGCAATACCCAAAAAGTCAAGTGCAATATTCTACTCAGATCACAGAACATGTTTTAATTAGTACACTTAAATTTTTTTTGAAAATAATACACAGGAAAATTGTTAAAACTCATAAATATGCAATTAGTGACAGACAATTTGGCTTTAAAAATGGTATGGACACAAGAGATGCTTTGTTCGGCTAGAATCCGCTGGCCCAGAGATGCATGGATATGAATCAGAACAACAATTATGTTTTGAAAAGGCATTTGATAAGGTTGAACATAAAAAGCATGTAGAAATATTAAAAAGCAACAATATTGACAGTAGTGATATGAAAATTATATCCAATATTTATTGGAATCAACCTGCCAAGGTAAGAGTTGACAACCAGAACACCCGAGATATCAAAATACAGAGAGGAGTCCGCCTGGGTTGCGTGCTGTCACCACTACTCTTCAATATCTGTAGTGAAGCGGTATTTAAAAAACGCGCTCTCATATTCAATAGAAGGTATATCTATCAATGGAGAAGTTTTGAATAACTTCACATAGACGACACAGTAATAATGACGGATAACAACAATGATTTACAGAACGTAATGCAACGACTAAATGACTGCTGTCATGAATACGGACTAATTGTTGAGGATACTGTAATTGAGAGTGTAGATACCTACAAATACTTACGAACATTCAGAATACATCCATCACTGGATGTATTCCGTTGCATGTTTTGGCGGTGGAAAGAGCTTTATGAGAGAAGAGGCCCAAACCTTGCTGAGAGAAGACAGGTAAGGGAAAGGTCAGTTGTAAGATTTCAAGAAGAATGGAACAATACGGAGGATGAGGCACAGTGGACGAAAATGCTGATCCCGAACATAAGAGCTTCGGTCGACTGTGGCCACAGGCGACTGGATTATTTCCTGACGCAGGTGCTCACAGGACACGGGTGTTTTATGCCTACCTTTATAGGGTCGGAGAGGCTGATACAGATGAATGCCTATATTGTGGATACTCGGACATTGTGACACATATGATGTTAGATTGCAGCAGATGGATAGTGGAAAGGAACAGAATGGAGAGAGAGACAGGTGTGAATTTTGTTACAGTGAGAGAAATGATTGAGAGAATGATTGAAAATAAATTAGGTTGGATTAACATACACAGTTATATCCGTGCAGTGATCAAGAAAAAGGAAGAGGAAGAAAGACAGCTGGACCAACGGCAAAGGTAGAGTGAATGATGCTGAAAGATGAAGTTAGAACAGTGGGTCACACTTTTTGAGTTAGAATGCATGAGTTTGACTGTGGGGAAGGAGGAAATGCCCTTCTGGGAATGATGCTGACTAGGAGTGTGGATGTGTATGAATGGAGAATGAATGAATAAAGGTAGTGCTTCGGAGGTGTAAATTCTTCGGACTGTTCGTTTGTACCATGGGCTTTCGATAATAAGATCGTTGTCCTTGCAAAGAGTTCTTATACGGATACAATTTCCCATTTATTAATGTATGGTATTGTCAGGCCAAAGTTGACTGAATCAAAATACTTAAATTTACGAATTTTCTTGATGACGTCTTAAGAGAATTCAGTTGTCATCTTGCTCCACAGATTTTCTTACACATATTCTTTTTTATTTTGGGCATATATCGACAACAAAGTTTATGATTACCTTCGTAAAAGAGCTTAAAATTTAGAAGAACTCGGTCCGTAGATTATTTATCGAAGTTTTGAGGTCAATAACACCAGTCATGTTCAAAAACATGAGACGCCATTTAATTATCGTTAACGAATTTTTGGGGCTGAAGTTTCTACCTTCTTAAATTTAATTAAGTAAAGTATTTGAAGGTACCACCTAATAACACATTTGTTAAACAATAATATATATGTTAATAATATTTAAATCTGCCAAATTCTCTTTATTATTAGAATTATTTGTAATTTTTCCTTTTATTAAGTATTTTAGCCAGCATTTCGGTTAGGTACAAGTTAAAGACGAAAGAAATATTTACCAAGCTACTAGCGACCTTGCTGCAGAAATAAGTAAGATTAGATTAAACTTTCACTGTTGCAGTGAGATCTACTCATTGTGTATTCATTTCTTGTAAATTTGTAAACTTCTTAATCATTGATCCAACTGATGACCAACCATTGATATTTAGTTCTTTGGTTGCCGAGAATTCTTTATTTATCGTGAGTAAATGTTGAAAATATTTATAATTAGTATTTTACAAAACAGAATAGCAAAAAATACCAGTAAAATAAATAATAACCTCTAAATGATATTCTTAAGAAATTCTGTTTTGTTGAGAATTTCATTGGAAAAATGGCTAATATTCTCTTTATAGATGGCTAATAAGTTCATTTTAAACTTTTTTATGAATTCATGTGAAATATGCTGTTGATAAAACTTTTTCTGAAGATCGTTGTTGACTTGTTACTATTCTGATGTCATTTTAAAGGACAATCTCAAAAAGTAACCCCATGATGTCACGCTAATGATACCCATTTGCAAGTTCTTTACTTCAGACTAATTTAAAAATTAAGTTAATTAAAAAATTAGTATCATTCGCTTATTTAATATGCGGAGGATCGTTTTCACTATAGCTAGACTTTTAATTGTTAATTATAGCTTTTTTAAAAGTAGATATTATATTAAACAGTATAATTATTACGGTTCTTATGGTCCTTAACCTTGCTATTTGGTTTGTTTACTTTCTCAACTTTTACTCTGCGTATAGAAACCAAGAAAATTAAGTTAAACTGAACAATTGTTGCCGACAAAACAACAGCTGGATATTTTCAAATAAATGAGAAAATAACATTTTTGCTAATATTTAACTTTCAGATAAGAAATCATGATTAATATATATTTATTTAAATAAATAATTAAACTATCATCCTATTTTTTACTCTGATTTTACAACGCAAATATGAATGTCAGCTGGATAGGAAGAAAGCGTTCGTTTATATTTAAAAGTTTGTTTTTGTAATTTGTGAACTGAAATTTTGAACTCACCTGACCTTGTCCTGAAGACGCGTACAATCTTCCACAGTACTCGTATCATTTTCATAGTGGTTGAAAAACCGATGAAGAACTCTTGCCGCTTCCAATGGCTGCTCTGAGAGGTCGGAGCTGATTCTGGCTCTGCTTCCACTTCCGGGTCACTGTTTTCTTATTTTTTTACACGAACTACTTGTAGGAGGATATCCTCGTCAGAAACATTTACATCAGATACATTTACATCAACTTCTTTGAAATATGTTGCTCTTCCGGTCCGTAGGTGATAGAAAGTTCAAACTGTTTGGCCCAAAAACAGCTAACGGCAGGTCATTTTCATCTTCAGTCAATCCTTGATCTTCCAGCCATCGTGAGTGTTTAAAGGAAAGTTTTATCGTATTGCTCGTCACCTCGTCCCACGATTTATTAATCATTAGGATGGCGTCGACAACGTTTAGTTTGAGATTGCCATTGTTCTCACCCAATTCCATCAAAAGTCTTCTCTTGTAATGGTTTTTCAAACTATTGATGATACTTTGGTCCATGGACTAAAGGACACTCGTGTTTGCTGGCAGGAAACAAAGTTCTATGTTTTGAAGGTCGCACAGTACAGGATGAACAGGACAATTGTCTAAAAGCAGAAGAATTTTTCTTTTTAAGCTCGATATTGCATTTTCTAATGGCTTCTTTAAAAATTTCCGAAGTCATACACGCATTCTTGTTTGCTGCTAGGCCGCTGGTAGATTTTTGATGTGTTAAAGCAACGTGGGTTTTTCGACTTACCTATCACTAACAATTTTCTCTTCATTGAACCTATTATGTTGGCGACAACTAAAACCGCAATGCGTTCCATAGAGAGCTTTCTTCCAACGCTCTTTTCCGATTTAAATTTTAAAGTTCTGTTTGGTGTCATTTTAAAAAACAAGCCAGTCTTATAAGCATTGAAAATTTCGTCTGATGCATATCGTGCCTTCGGTACAGGCCACACGTTTTCTAGCCAATCATCCGTTACGTTTTTGTTTACATCGCGAGCCTCTCCGCTGATCTGCCCGTAGTTGATCTTATGCCGCAGCTTCCGCTTGCTCAGCTAAACCTCAAATGCTTTAAAATTCTCAGTTACAAGCTCAGTTGCAAAAAACTCAGCTCTTGTCCTGACCACAGTTTCAGAAAGTGGAATATGGTTCATACTCTGCTGCTGAAATCACTAAAGTATAGCGTGATCTAAATCTTCGTGTTGAGGTTTTCGCAACTTCCCCCGCTATCGCCGTCCATTGCCGCTTCAAGCTACTTTTTTCTGATCTTCCATATCACAGCCACAGTTGACTGAGACAGCCCCGGACGACGAGGAACGACATCCAATTGCTTTTTACTTTTTCTCTATTGCCGAGTTATCGATAACTTTTCTTCCATCGAGAGAACTTTACGGTTTTTCGAAAACATGTTGACTGTTCACATACTGAGTTACAACTGAAACTGGAAGTACGAAGTCATCAATAGATTACAACATCTGTGCGAATATAGTTAGCACGCCGCGCGAACAATAAGTGGCACGCAGCGTGTCACTCATCCCTTGGATTACAATGAGTAGGAGAGGTGGCTACATTTCTTAAACGCGAAGCGAAACAATGATCTTGACTCTCGTGACTCTGGTATTCTGGGTTTCCAACACAACAACATATTTGCCATCGACTATTGAACGCTAAAACGTCATCGCTATAAAGAGAGGACGATATCGGTATAGAGAAAGAATTAATACATTGTTCTTATGACGAACCAAACATTTATTATTATCATCGTTATAGGGAAATTATCGTTATATAGGGAATCGTTATAAAGAGAGAATCGTTATATACTGCCTTCCCTCGCTCAACCGTTTCCATCTTTCTCTGTTATCCCATTCTCCATCGTTTAGGCCTCTCTTTCACGTCGTCTACTTCGTTCCTCTAGGATCTTCGGGGTCGTCCTCTTTTCCTTCTTCCTATGGGTTATTGGGTTATTCTCTTTATCCATCTGCTGTCGCTAGTTCTTTTTACATGTCCATACCACTTTAGTCTTTTTTGTTCTATATATGTTAGTATGTCTGTTTCTATTGATGTTCTTTGCTTTATTTCGTCATTACTTCTCCTATCCATTCTTGTTACTCTGCAGCATCTTCGCAGGCATTCCATCTCTGTTGCTACTATCTTACTGCTGTTTTTCTTGTTTATAATCCAATTTTCAGCCCCATATGTCACAATAATTCGCACTAATGTTTTATAAATCTGTGTTTATAAATCTGAGTTAAGCTGTTTTTATAAAAGAATGTTTTAAAAATGGTAAGATGTTATGACCAAAAGTTGTTTGGTGGTTATTGTTTAACAAATTGACAGTTGACTAATTTGGCCTCGATCTTGTAGGCATATAGCCATGCTTTTAGTTGACAATTCTGAGGATGATGCTAGTAACCTCAGGATGCTATCAAATTCTTATTGTTGTGTGAGTCTATGTATTATGTGTTTACATATTATGTATTACATGTGTATGATAGGTTTTAACAACTGCTGAATGTGATGATAAATCGTTGTCTCTATAGTTCTTCGATCCTCAGAAGAAATGGTTGCTGTCCACAGGATTGTCCACTACAATCGAAGAGGCAAGCGATCATTTTTTTGGAAGTGGTCAGTGAACGAACAACTTAGCCAAATTCCTTTTTTTTTGTCATATTTTTTTTGTTCCAACTAGGTGCTCATCACCACCATAATCTTTTCCATCGTAAAACTGATTAGCCTTTGGCCATTATCATTGCCACTTCGTGCTTGCCATGTATTTCAGCTACTACGTTATTACGATTATCATCTTGATATATTATCTTGATAAACCAGAAAAAAACCGTAAGAAAATCAAAAATAAAAGCACAAACTTAATCGAAGAAACATCTATATTGACAGATCGGTGTTCTGTTCTCGACACTGCCAATATTATGATCTCGACCTGATTTCCAGACAATCTAAAGAGATGTCAAGTCCCTATTTTGTCTCGTGACGATGCGTGATGGTATTTATAAGAACGACAATTACAAATGGCATTATTAAAGTCTTCAGGTGGACATTTTTGTCCACTCGTAACTTTGTGAACATCAAAGAATCATAATTGTTCTTTTCTTTGCTTTTCATGAGGTCATATTAATTTTGTATAAAGTAGGTATACCTAAGTAACGTACATGTAGGTATTATTTTTTTGCCGTACGAATCTACAAAATCTCATAAAAAGTTAAAAAAATGTCCTGCAATAAAATATTTTTTATTTCAGTGGCAAGTATTCTATCAGACGAAAAAACTCCGACTGCCGAAACGTTTTCTCCAACAAACGACATGAACAAACCCGTTCGACCTCTTCCTGTTCCCCCTCCTAAAGAAACCGACTTCCTTACAAATGAAAAAGACTTTTACTCCGAACAGTGCACGGAGACCTTGGATAATTTGGAACTGATCGCAGAAGAAGGCGAAACTGAAATTCATGCGATAAATGTTCCGAAACCCGTAATAGAAGTTGAAAAACCCAAAATCGTGGAGGTGAACGTCAAGAAAAATGTCAATTTGCACCTGCAACCGTTGGAGTTTATAGAACAAATCGAGACGCCAAAGAATCAACAAAAACTGAGTACACCAGGTAAGTTTATAATTTATGTAAATAGTAAAATCATATAGTAACCTAATAGTTTTATTGAATCTTAATTGAATCTGAAGCCTAATTGATGTCAGTCGATTTTTGAAAGATGGTAGCTGATCTTTTGAAATTAAGATCTCTTCATGCTAGGCCAGACGTCTAGTCCATCTTCTTCTTTTTATGTAGACATGACTGTCTGTTTTTTAATGTGCATCCAGTAAGCTGTCGTTCCATCATTTTCGTAGTCTTACTACTGATCTTCCTTACTCCATCTTCCTATTGGGGAACCGTCTCTTGCCTATTTGTTGTCATTCGGCTTATATGGTCGTTCCATTCTACTCTTCTATTTCTTACCCAGTTTTTAATGTTCTCCACCTTGCATCTACGTCGTATATCTGTACTTCTAGCTCTGCTCCATAGTGTTTTACCATTAATTTTTCTTAGTGTTTTCATCTCTGCTGTTTCTAACATCCTTTTTGTCCTCTCTGTGCCAGGTCGTGTTTCTGCCGCGTATTTCATTATTGGGCTGATGACTGTTTTGTAAATTCTGCCTTTCATTTCTTTCCCGATATTTTTATTTCTTCATATTGTTTCATTCCGGCAAACTCCGGCTCTGTTTGCTTTATTCACTTGATCTTCCACTTCTGTTTCGACCTTTCCCTAGCTAAATAATGTGGTGCCTAGATATTTAAACTCCATCACTTATTCTATTATCTGACCTTCCAGCTCCAATTTACATCCTAGTAAATTTGCTGTTATAACCATGCATTTTGTCTTTTTTGGGGAAATTAACATGTTAAATTTTCTGGTGGATATATTGAATTGATGCAGCATACGTTGTGAATCATCTTCATTTTCAGAGAGTAGTATTGGTTGGACAATAGAGGACTGAGGGAATCTTCCTGTCTTATCCCAGTCAATCTATATTAGAATTTAACCGCCTATGTATAACATACATGAACACACATGTTTCTCTGCAACTAGAATTGAATTCCGGATCTTCTTATACTTTATGTGCCCAAACGAGCAGTGCCCACTCATGTGTTGTCTGTTGTCTCCCTAAAACTTTAAAAAAGTACATAACCAGAGCTATCCAATGGATGTGGAAGCTGAGTAATGATGCAAAAAGATCCCTGTAGAATCCAAGCTAACGAAATAATATGTTACAGAAGAGTGAAAGGCATAAAAAGACATATAAGTGAAGATATAAGACTAGAACTGAATATCTTGTTGATTGTTGAAAAAATAGTACAAAAAAAAAGAATACAGGACAAAAAAGACACAGCATATAAACATAATTAATGAAATTTTACTAACTAAACAAATACTAAACTACAAACCGAAAGGAAGAAGATGTATAGGACGCCTCTCCAAAAGATAGAGCGAAGTTTTATGTCCAAATAGGCTGTAAAGAAATAAACCCTGGAATGAAGGAGAGAATAATATGTCATATTATGTTTTTTCATAAATTTCAACAATTTAGTCATTGCACAGAGTTGGAGTATGCTCATTAAACCCTTTTTGTTTGAGGTTAATCATTAATTTGCTGTATCAAATCAATTGCTTCGATTCTGTTTAATATATGGTAAACTAGATAGGAAGATACCCTCTAATTTATTTAAATGAAACTTCTTGTTTAAAAAGATTTTAAACCATCAATTTATAAAACAATCTATTGTAGGTCAAGATTTATTAGAATGGTGTAAGGAAATGACGAAAAATTATAATGGTGTGAAAGTTACCAATTTGACCACGAGCTGGAGAAATGGAATGGCATTTTGTGCTCTTATACATCACTTCGAACCTGATTTAATGTAAGCAAGGCTCTCAATATAATTATTATAAGTCTATTTTTATTTCATATTTTAGTGAATTTAATTCTTTATCTCCGCACGATGTCAAAGGAAACTGCAAAAAGGCGTTTGATGCAGGAGATAGACTGGGTATACCGAGAGTTATCGAACCAACAGATATGCACATGCTGGCAGGTAATATAAAAATCTTTTTGAAATAGCTACCTTTAAAGAGATACTATTCAGATATAAAATATATAAAAAAACGTTCACTATGCAGTTCGTATTTCCAATATTTTAAGATTAATAGGAACAATCGCAACAATGCGAAAAACTTTCCTAATAAAAACATTGGCAAATAGGTTCTGAAACTATTATCAATCACAATTTATTATAATTAAAATCACACTTTATAATTTTTATTTAACGTTTTGATTTCCACTCCGGAAATTATTTTCAAAAAAGTTAGAAAGTATGAAATTATTTTTTATAATGCGATGTTTTTATATCCAAGTTGTTTGGCGTTTATTGGTTTCCAACAAATTGACGGTTGACTTTTTTGGCCTCGATCTTGGACGCATATAGCCATAGGCTCTAGTTAACAACTCTGAGGGTAATGCTTATAGCCTCATAATTACATCAAATTCTGATTGTTTTGTGTGTTTATGTATTATGTATCACTACAAGATTAGATTGGTAACGATTGTCAAAATTTAATAAAAGTCATAAAAGTGATCCGATTAATGACAAAATTGAATCATTTTGTTTATTGTAGGATAATAAACTTACTTATAAACTCAAACTGTATAGCATTTAATTATAACAAGAAAAATAACCTTACAAATTGGTATATTAGGTGCACATGCTTTTGTGTATTTTTTGACAAGTTTTGCTAAATATCTGTGTTTGCGCACTAGCCGGAACCGAAAAATGTCACTCTGTGGTACTCGTCTCATTGGCGTTGTTTGCTCTGTAAATACGTAACATGTAAATATTACACACGTATTACGTTTAATATGAATTGTGACGTAAACATTCTCCCTCCGTTGAAAGTGGTACCTTTCAAACACTAGTAGGAAGAGGACAAATGCTCTGGAAACTCCTCTTAATAATTGCCGTGGCAGTTTTGATGATTGCTACTCGGGATCTTCCATCTTCACCCTTATCTAGTTTCTGAATTCTACCTAGTGGCCATCGTGTTGGTGAAGTACGTTCGTCTTTAATTAATACTAGCGAATTTTCAAATACCTTTCCCTTGTTTGCCCTCGTCTAGCAGTTCTAAAAATGTTGGGCCATTTGTTGTAGAAGTTGGTATCTATTCAGTCTATTCAGATTAATGTCGGTCACATCTTGATCGGAAATAGCTACTATAGGTCTTCCAATAAGAAAGTGAGCCTAGTTTAATTATTTTCAGGCGGCTTAAACCGGTTTTACCGGAAATATCGTCTAAAAATTTTGTAAAGTGATTTATTTTGAAAAAAATTAAATAAAATTATTAATCTTGAACATGTTATTTAGTGTATATAATAATTAAATTGAGTATGAAATGATATTTATTATTTATATTTTGTTATTAATATTTGGTCTGAATTTGACAGGATTGTCATAAGTAAACAACCTGTGCTTTGTTAAAACCTTAACAGGTGGCGTTAGTAGCAAACGTAATAATTTATTGAATTTGGTTCAAATAGAAAACATAAATCAATAGCAAAATTACTTTATTTTAATTTTAAATATAATAATTAAATTAAAAAAAAAAACAGAAAACATAGTATGAAATGAACCTCTGCACTAGTCTACAGTACCACCTACTGTTTTTTTTATCATTTTTAGTTCTTTCCAGTTATTCTGGGGTTATTTAGCAATCGTTGAAGATGCTTCAATAACGGCATTATCGATGTTTGATTTATTAATTTTCGATTCTTTAATTTGTGTCCAGTTCCAAACTATTACTTTAGGTTAAACAAGAGGGAATTAAGCTACTATCTATATTTGATATTACTTTTTAGGAGCAGGTATCGTCGATTTTAATGAATATAAATTTCAATGGAAACTATGTAGACAAAAAAAATAGATAATGATAATACTTCATGCAAAAAGTTTAAGCTGTGGTATAATAGATATTCTTTGCGAAACTTACATAGTTTGTTATACATAATTTGTACACTGTTTGGACTCGTTCGTTAATTAAACTATAATATTTTTTAGTTCCTGATAAACTGGCAGTGATGACCTACCTCCACCAACTTCGGGCGCACTTCACCGGTCACCAGCTAGAAGTTCAGCAGATCGGAAAAACTGCAGAAGAAACTAACTACGTCATAGGAAAATTCAATACTGACAAAGATACTGATATTACTAAACAGGTATTTGGTCAAGAAATCATGAATCTACGGAAATCGAAACAAAACAAAAAACAAGACAATCAAACAGAGATAGAAATGAATCTTGCCAATAGAAACGAGCCGAAAGGAGATGCCTCGAAACTTAGGTTACCTCTTAAAATAACTAATGAACCGGAACCTGTGAAGGAGCCTAAGGAGAAGTCACCGACCATTGTGAAAGACGTCAAAAATATAATAAATAAGGTTCGTATAAAAGTATTGACTTTATCGTTGTGTGGTTAGTAGAGGCCGGATTAAAAGGTATAAAAAAAAGTTAAAACAAGCGCTTACAATGTATAAAGTTTCACTTGAAAAAAAAGCAAGCAATAGACTTTTTTGAAAATTTAATTGTTTAAATAAAAACAAAATCATGGAACAAACAAAATCATAAAATATAATATAATTATACAAATGACAAATCTAAGTTTGGTAAATAGAATCAATATCCAGATTTTAGTTTAAATATTCCATTGTAAAATTGTGTCTTCTATCACATAAAATGTTTTTGTAGGCTGAAAAACTGCTTTCTGTATCAACACTCGTTTTGAGCATATCTTTAAGATATTAAGTCCGTATCAGTATTTTCTGTCAATACCAAAGCATTTTTTTTGTGTTGAAAATCTTACTTCTTAAACATGTAAAAGTTTTTTTGTACAATTTGACAAGTTAGTTCAGTTCTCTTCAAAATTGTTAACTGATGTTAGTGTATGTATTCATATAATGTGATTTCTTGTTTCTCGCGAGACTTTATTTTGTGACCCACAAAATTAAAATTACTTACCCAAATATTTTTTTGTCTTCTTGATTTAAGACCGTTTGATAATCTTTAATTTGCCTTACTGGCTGTTTCAGGTACATCAAAAACAACGTCTCTAAAATTTTTTGCATATTGCAGCATCAAATCTTGTCTCAACAATGTGCTATTAGGTACTCGTTTCTTGAAGAGTTGCACGCTTAAAGGTGCTTAAATAAAAACTTTTTTTAATTTTTAATAAGTTTATTACGAAGCAGAAATGTTTGCCTTATAGTTTCAACAATTATATTTAAACGATGAGTCAAGCAAGTACAATATCAATAATCAGATAATTAAATCTACAACATATTTTCTCCAAATATAGTAGCTGCCAATTAGTTTTTTTTATTTCTTGAACAGTTTCATGGTACACAGAGCTAAAATAGCTTTTTCTCTGTAGTCTTTCGTCTGGTACATGCATCTTATAAAGGTATATTAGATTGTTCCATGGCTGTACATAAATCGAGATTAAACCTTGTTTTCGAATCTACCCAGAATTATATGCCAATGATTCTTACATGTGGAATTATGTTGTATTTTTTTATCAAATCCTATCTAGAATAAAGAATATTTTCAAAATCTAAACACGCACTAGTCCGTGTCTATTTTTAAATTGTAATTCCAATAACAAATTACAGTGACATAGTATATAATAACAAATTTAAAAATTTTACCCTATTTAATAAGAAAAAAGAATAATTTTCATTTAAACATTGAATGAAGACAAATAAAAAAAAAGTTTAACAAAATATATATAACTGGAAATATTCTTCAAAGCTGGTTAAATTCGTCCTTCGTAACTATACCAAAAAAAATTAAATTCCAAAACATGCGATGATTACAGAATAATTAATCTAGTGAACCACTTACTTAAAACGTTTTTAAAAGTGATAGATAACAGAATATATAATATGCATAATATAATACAAGAAATGCAAAGATTAAATGTCGACATTCTAGGCGTTAGTGAGGCAAGGTGGCCAAATTCTGGCAGTTTTTTGACAACAAATGGCATGGTATATTACTCCGGAAACAGTAGTACTCAACACAGACACGGCGTAGGAGTTTTGTATCTAAGTCTATGATGCAGTCGGTCATTAATTTTACTCCAGTATCAGATCGGCTCTTATTTCTCCAACTACAAACAAACACAAGTAAACTAAATATCATACAGATCTATGCACCTACTGCAGATAAATCCGAGGACGAAGTTAAACAATTCTACGAAGAAATCAATCAAGTATTAAAATCGACGAAACCACGAGACATCACCGTAATTCTAGGTGATTTTAACTCAAAAATTGGTAAAGGAAAAATTGGCAAACATGTAGGAGAATACGGACTCGGTAAAAGAAATGAACGAGGTGACAGACTTCTTCAATTCTGCCAGGAGAATAACATGGTGGTATCTAATACATTCTTCAATTTACCAAAGAGAAGACTTTATACGTGGAAATCACCCCAGGAGAATGGCGAAAGAATAATTCGAAACCAGATTGATTTTTTACTGATAAACGAACGATACAGAAACTCCTTAAAATCCGTTAAAGCTTACCCAGGCGCAGATGTCTTTTCAGACCATAACCCTCTAATAGCGCAAATAAGTATTAAACTAAAAAATTGGAGCAGAAAAGAAGAGCAAATCAGATAGACGTCAGTCATTTATGTAACCTGGAGGTAAAGGAGAAACTGCAAAAATGTATTAATAATAATTTGAAAATACTTCATGAAAAAGAAACATCTCATCCAACGAACAACATAGATAAAAAATGGCAAAACGTAAAAATGACGATAACAGGTCCTGCGAAGAAAATTCTGACTAAAGAAAAACCAAAAATAAAGCAAAGGTGGATGACTGATAAGATCATTCTTCTCATGGACAATCGGAGAATAATGAAAGGAAAAAACGAACAAAGGTATAAACAAATACAGAAAGAAATCAAAATAGAAATCAGAATAGCAAAAGAAGATTTTTATAAAAGAAAATGTAAAGAAATAGAGCAATTGCAGGCAAAACATGATATTTTTAATGTACATAAAAATGTGAAACAACTGCAGGTACACAAAAACGTAAGCAGCCAAATATCCTGTATAATGTCAACGGAAACATAATAACAGAACTAGAAGAACAGTTAAAGACATGGAAAAACTATATTGAAGAACTCTTTGCAGATGATAGACAACAATCTGGGCTAAGTAACATACAAGGAGACGAAGGTCCAGAAATAACGGAAGAGGAAGTAATGTACGCACTAAAAAGAATGAAAAGATAAATGCCAAACAATGTAGTGATTACCGTACAATCAGTCTGATGAGTCATGTACTGAAAATATTTGCCTATATCTGAGATTTGCCGATGACACCGTTCTGATCGCAGAAACACTTGAAGAGCTACAGACATTGGTGAATAAGATAGCAGACTGCAGCGAAGAATATGGACTGTCTTTGAACATAAAGAAAACTAAATTTATGGTAATATCGAAATCAACACAAAATGTCCAAAATTTATATTTACACAATGAAATTATCGATCGAGTTAGCAAATACAAATATTTAGGCACTTTTATAAATGAAGACAACGATAGCTTAGCAGAAATCAAAATAAGAATAGAAAATGCCAGATCCATATTCACTAAAACGAATAGAGTGTTCTGCGGAAGAGATTTGAGCCTTGAAATGAAACTTCGCCTGATGAGATGTTACGTACTTTCTGTGCTGTTCTACGGAATGGAGTCATGGACGTTGAAAAAGATTGATACCAAAAAATTAGAGGCATTTGAACTGTGGATGTATCGCAGAATCCTGAGGATATCATGGACCGAGAGAGTCACAAATGTCGAGGTCTTGAGAAGTATGAATAAAGAAAAGGAAGTCATATTTACGATCAAAAAATGAAAACTGCAATACTTGGGACACATTACAAGAGGCGAAAGATATGAACTGCTTCAAATAATTATGCAAGGGAAAATAGCAGGAAAAAGGTCCATACGTAGAAGACGAAAGAAAACAGTAGTTTTTGCAGATAGTCTAGATGGTTTACAAGCAATAATGTCGTGCATATCAGGTATAAGTCGAGAATATGGGTTGGATCTCAATACGAACCAAACAAAGTACATGGTAGTTAGTAAGCGCGAAATATTAAATACACATATTTTGCTAAACCAATAGTCAATTGACAGGGTAAATAGCTACACATATCTTGGTACTAACATAAACAGTCAATGGGACCACTATACTGAATTAAAACAACGCATGGGGAAAGTAAGATCAGCGTTCGTAAAGATAAAGTCTCGTTTCAGAAGTCAAGATTTACCACTTAGTAACAAAATCTCTATCATTAGATGCTATGTATTTTATACCTTATTTTATGGAGTAAACGCTCTCTGAAGCTTCTTTAGGAAAGCTCGAGGCCTTCGACATGTGGTGTTACAGATGCATCTTACAAATTTTATGGGTGGATCGTGTGACTAATATTGACGTCCTGCGTAGAATGGGCAAGGAATGCGAGATCACTAACATAATCGAAGATACGGCTTATTGCAACTCATTCTTCAGGGCAAGATACTTAGAAAGAAAGGATCAGGGAGAAGAAGAATATCTTGGCTTCAAAACGTAAGGAAGTGGTTCAATACGTTTACAACCGGACTATTCCGAATAGCTGCAAGTAAAAATCGCCAACATCCGGAACGAATAGGCACCGTAAGAAGAAGAAGAAGGGGACAAATAGGTGCCAAAAAACTTTTCAGTTTTGATCCCAAATAATTTCTAATCTATTAGACAATCGAACCTCTCTATCGAACCTACTATTAATTAATTTAGACTTCAGCTAACTGTGTAAGTAAAGATTGGAGTTGCGCAAAGATCAACAAACAGAATGTAAAGTCTATCAAAGCAAACTAGTCAACATTACTTTCCCAATAATAGCTTCCTGTGATACACCTGCTACAGACGCTTTTTTTATTTAGGTTTCGAGAAGTTGAAAAGAACAAAAATACAGGTAAAAGTAAAATAAGCATCAAATTCGAACTCGAGTGATTACGAAATAAATGCGATAGTTGTTCTGGAAATTGTTACTAAGGGACGCGTTGCCATAAAGGCACAATTCCCAGATATTGATATTACAATATTGATATTAATTTTCAATATTGCAATAATTCGCTGTATCAATTATAGACGGTTATGGAAAGTATAAAATTTAAGAATTTTTATATTTGGTCATCAATGTTATAAACATTTAGTGGAGCTTCATTATCCAATGTTAACCTCGAGTTCATGAATGTAATATTTTATTTTATAATTATAAATGATCCATATGGATGACCCAAAACCGTCCTCCTGAAGGATTCGACTTGAAGCAGTAATCTCCATTATGAATCTACAAACTGTACCAAATGAAATTTGAAATAATTGAAATAAAACTTCCCACAGAACGAAATTTAAAAGTGCTACAAGTTATGACAGTTTTCTGTATATTATCATCATTTATAATTCCTTTTCCATTTTTTTTTAATATTTCGTTATTGATACCTCTGGTACATAATGATACTAGTACTCGTCTGTACTACTACATTTCAAAAAGTAATTTTTGTTCGGCTACTACGAATGGTGTACACGCTTTGAGGCCGTAATAATGTATACTGAACATGTAGCATATTTTAAATCGTTTTTAGATATATAGGCAGGCTTTTACTAGATAAAATTATCTTCATTCAAACGAATTCTAGTCGTGCTTTCTCTATTCTTGCTTTAATATTTACAGTATAGTTGTTAATTTCAGTTATTGGCACCTCTAGATAATGATACTTTTTTATTTTCTCCACCAGATAACCCCAATGCTCATTATTGTATTGAAATTAAGTTAATAATCTCCAGATAAAATGAGAATTAACTTTTTTATATCCAATCTTTAACTACGCTGATTTTGGTAGTTCAAATCGAATGATGATTTTTATTTTTTATATAGGTAATTCCTTCTCCGGGTAAAGATAAACAGGAATCTATTAAAAAAGAAGAAAAGAAGCAAGAAGTAAAGAAACCAATACTTATGACCAGAAGGGAATTAACAGATCCGTTCGGTTCGGATGATGAGGAAAGTCCTCCAGCTGATAATAGTATCGCAGATAATAAGTGTACAGAAATGAATGGTGATATTAATCATAAATTAGATGTAAGTGATAGTAAGGAAAACAAAGATAGTGAGAAAAAAGATGATGTATTTTCGGACTTGCCAAAACCGAATCCTGTAAGTACATATAGCTCTTATATATTTTTATTTTTTGGCATGATTTTGGTTGTTTGATTTTATTCTAATAAAATTCCTTGTACTTAGTATTCAAATGCCCAACCTCCCTAGTCTTAGTGTTTAGCTTCCAAAAACTAGTTTCATACCATCACTGGGTGTATGTTTTACCATGAAGCCGTAATGGATTATTTTAAATAATACCTTATAATCTTTATCTTAATTTTGTCAACTTATGCCCCCTGTTCTATTCCTTGTGATATAATTATTTTGAAAATCTTAATGAACTATTTACTTCATACATTTTCCCAGAGGTAGAGTAGACGAGCCCCGTATTGCAAGGACATGGGCTCGCTCGTTCCCCTCTACATCTGAATGTACCATATGACGTTTACCTTGTTGATCAGTGCAGTGGCAGCTGTTTGCATTTCAGCAACTATCTTTTCTTTCGTATCAACTATCTCCTGGAGACGGAGTAAAACCGCAATGATCTCAGGCTAAAAGACTGATGCATAGAAACTGAAAGTCTGACTCAATAAAAGTCCGACCCTACGTCCGTATACTCCCAACGTCTGACCGCTTGTCTATTCTGAACTTATTTGTAAACTAGCCGAGCAAACTCCGACGAAGCAGTGTTAATTTTCGTTCTATCCACTCATCACAATCAGGAAAGTGAACCATGAAGGAAGGTGTAAACTCAACGTGAGGGGCCGTACTGTTCTGTAACATGGGAAGCATAGGACAGTAATTCGCGGCCTGTCTCCAAATCACATAGTGACCGGTCGCTCCTAAATACTGCCCAAAATAGTTAAGCCGATATGTGACCATAACGGTTTTGTGCTCCAAAATAAGATATAGGGGCGGTAGACTAGAACTTAAGGTCTCTGTAGGGGCGGTTGCACACCTGCCTACATGTGTTAGTAGCTTTGACTAAAGCCTTCGATTGCGTTAAGCTGAAAGATGTGTTAAAATTACTTAAAGAAGAAAAACTGTTCCAGCAGAATACATAAACACATTTAGTGGTGACAAAGGAGCCCAAACGATGCAAAATAAAAATTACGAACGAAATGATAGAACAAGTCTCGAAATTCTTAGGCTAGAAATATACAGTTGCGGAAATCTTGGGTCTAAGAAATCGAACAAATAAAGCGAGTTATGTATCAAGATGGCATAAAATGAAAACCTTAATATCAAAAGCGGGGAAAACACTAGAGTGCTGAAGTAGAACACCAAGTAACGAAATAAGAGGTCTATATAACATCCACGTATGATGAGTGAAGACAGCGAAGACGGGAGTGGAATCAGCATGTGACAGGAATGGATAGGGAGAAACTACATCAACATCAGAATTACGACTACATCGTAAAGATAAGATCGGACAAGAACGGTCTACACTGCCTAATATAAGGACAACAAGAAATATGCAGTAGACTAGAATTTGATCCAGAATATAGCAATCAAGAGCAGCCTTTTATAAGATGTAGAAATTTTTGAGTAACCAAAGAACCAATCTGCAAATCCGATATCGGATGGTAAAATGTTATATACACTCTATTCTTCTTTATGGTGCCGAATCTTGGACTGTTAATGTTGACCTAATGAGAAACCTGGAAACTTTTGATATATGACTTTTTAGAAGTGAAAATACAACGGGCCGATCATATTACAAACTAAATTGTGTTACACATAATGGCAAGAGACAGAGAACTTTTGACCATAATTAAAAGCAGAACGACAGCATATTTGGGTCACATACTTAGAAATGAGAAGTACGAGAGCTGCTTATGAAGGATAAAATCGAAGGAAAAAGGGGTCCTGGTAGACGACAAATATCCTGACTGAAAAACATTCGAGACTGAACCGGGTTGAACACACAGACGCTTTTAATAAAAACAGCGGATAGAGACGAATTTGCAATGGTTATAGCCAACCTTTATTAGTGGAGTCGGTACTAGAAGAAGAAAAAATACCTATATATAATAGTTAACGTTAACAACATTTGTGGTCAATTTTTTTGTTACCTGTTAACTGCCAATGTCTGACCACCTGATTAACGCGGACATTACTTACGGCGATTGTACACAACTTAACTTTTACTGCAATGAAAACAATTGCGTTTAGCTAATTAAAAATATTCTTTGTTTAAGTCCTAACTGTTATGCTTGACTATGATTTTACAGCGGCGGTAAAACTCTCATAAAACTAGTGTGATAAAGATTTGATAAGAATCTTTTAGTGGCAAGGTGCTAATGAGAAGAGAGAATATTCCTAAGCTTTTCGCTAGCTTGTATAATATATGAGTAATTATCAACAGCGATATCAAGAGAAAGTAGGAGAGGCTTTGTTGGCTTATGATACGAATTATTCTTAGCACCGTGATAATAAACAGATGAGGCAGAAAGGAGTGTTAAGCATGTGTTGGCGTAATATATGAATACTACTGGCATGCCATTAAACAGAAAGGATACCAGAATAAAACCAATTTACGATGATTCAAACACGATCGACAGATTATCTAAGAACTTACGACCATCCGCTTTCGAGCTTTTCAACGAAATTTTTACTTCTTTTTTTTACTTTTACCGGGTCTTTTTACCATGTGCAATTTCTCCAAATAGTAAGTTGGATTCCTCGTCTCGGAATGGCAATGCTAATAGAAACATGTCTTCAGCTTTATTTCCTTTCCCAAAATCGTATCCTTCATAAATATCTCCGTATACCATTTTGAATTGTCTCCTATGAGCATTGCAAGCATCGTTACGTAATCAGTTCTCTATAGGTACGCTTGTGCATATGTATCAATGAATCATATAAAGAGATTCTTTTAACCAGAGTTAATGGACTTAAACTACATTCATCATTTTCTATTGTTCTGAAGCTATTTTCTTGTGGCGTTTTAAAGTAATTAGTATTTAAATGGGAATAAGCCACAATTAAAGGTTAAAGTAAGTTTATTGATGTTTCAATTTCCACTTCGGAAATCGTTCTCAAAATACAAACAGTAAATTAAACAAATTTTGTTTTTTGTTGCTTTGGTGAAAAATTCTTCTAATAATTTAATTTTATCCGACTCATTTATATTGACAATTCCGACATACAATATACATTTTAAATTAACGATTGTGGAACGAAGTGGAAATTAAAACGTCAATAAACTTACTTTAATCTTTAATTGTGGTTTATTTCCATTTAAATATCATCATCATAAATAAATTACATCATTTTTCTATCAAATACAAAGTTTACTCATACTCTTCGATAACTTGTCCTCACAACTCAAATAATTCTCTTTCATTTCCTAAATTATGTGTGCTATAGGTCGAATATTTCTGGTTTTTCCAAGTTGCAATAATGTTTTGACTTAGTTCTTCTTAGCCAGATATCCAGATTCAGTGGTACATTACGTCCAGATAATTTGATTTTTTTGTTTTATTTTCGGAAAGATAGTTCATTTTTGTTAGTCTGAAAAGATTTATTTGGAGTTGCTATTCTATCAGCACTACATATTTCATTGAATCTAGTATGAATCGACACATTTTTGTTTATGGATGAGCATGCCTACTTTCTGATATGTTCAGAATTTAACAGGAAAAACACTTAAATCAGAATATACTGTAATAATATACTCTATTATAAAGAATAACTTTAAGTACTATTAAAGTTGTCACTATCTAATACACGTTTGATTCAGTTCGATTCTTACTTGAATATTTATGCGTCACATTTTGTTTGCCTTAATTCATTTTCCGGAGGTCATTTCTAATATTTTAAGTACATTTTTTAATTGTGTTTTGTATATTTGATTGTGAAGGTTTGGTTTGCAATTAAAAGTTTTTTCACGCGTCTGCAGCAAATTCTTATGAGACATTCGGAGCAAAGAGAAAGGGCGCGGGCGTTGCTGGAACAGGTGAAGAAGGAGGGATCGAATCCAACCTCACCGTCAAAGGTACGTACCAATATATATTTCATAGTTAATAATAACTACTCTGTACATAAAGTTGCAAGACATTTCATTTCTTATAGATAAAATACTGAAAATTGTTGCTTTCTGTTTGTTTTATGTTATATTCTCAAATTTATTACTCACTCGTAAAAATACTATTTCGCTTCTTGACTTTCCATTTTGGACATCAGTCAAAAATGTTTAATTTCTTCACTAAAAAAAAAAACTGAAATTAACCTTCCTCTGTCTAGAATTGAAACTCAAGTAAAAGGAAAAGAAAATTTAAGTTAATTGGCAATATTATTATGAATTTTGTCCTAGATGAATAATAAAAACGAGGTAAGATTTTTTTATCCAAACGTTTCGATCAAAATAACAACAACGTTTGTTGATGGATACTCATGTTCAATAATAAAACAAAACATAAAACGTAACATAACTGTTTTTTAATTTCTTCAGATTATCATTCAGAAATTTTAAAACGAATACTCCCTGATGGAATATTTAGTGTTGTTTGTCCGTTAAAAATATTTTTTTTTCTTCTTGCAACCTGCCTCAGGTTTTCGTGTTAACAACTACTTACATAACAGCCGGGACCAAATTCATCTAGAATCACATTATTGACATACGTTGAGCTGGTTGTTTTCCGGACAAAATTAGCTCTATATTTCGTTACACGATTTTTACTTATTCCTCTCTGACCTATATAAGTTTTGGTCATCTACCATAACTAATCTTCTATGCTATGAACTTATGTGTTTATGATGATCATGTGTAAAATTATTATTTTTTATGTATTTATCCACAGAATTGTTGGGTTTTAGATCTGTTACCGTTTTTGCCTTCTATAGGTTTGCAATTTTCTTAGTTGGTTGACCTATAAATGTTAAAGAATTATGATATAATTTTTCGAGTATTAAGATAGTATAGGACATTTTCTATATATGAGTAGTTATAGAAGCTGGGGACTGGACCACTTTGGTAACTTGTTCATTAGGGTCTCCGATGCCGAAGAAGAGCCTTTTTTACTTTGGGGGTGTACAAGAAGTTATCGACAATGACCAGAGGATTATAAGAGGTGGTCTCCTACCTCTAGAGCTCTTCTTCTTTTCCGAAGAGGTGATCGACAATGACGAGAGGGTTGTAAGAAGTGTCTCTTATTGCTTGATCTCTTCTTCTTTCCCGAGGAGTTGTCACCTGTTCTGAAAGATTTCCGCGTTTAGTACAATTAAAATTAGAGCTAAGATTAATATTATAATAAGAATTAATATTAAATCCGCTACTCCTCCGGGTTGAGCTGCGTTGATTATCATTGACCAAGCTTTCGACATCCTCTTTGATGTCTTCTTCAGGGCTTCCGTGGTTTCAGCCTCCCCAACCGCCAGACACTACTACACTGATCACTAACCAATGCATTACTACATTGCTGCAGCAATAACCAGAGTGTTGTGAGAACTGGTCGCTTATCTCTAGATCACTTTCATCCCGAAGAAGAGTTTTCATCTGTTTTTGTCACCTGTATGACGTATTACATTTCCTTGAAAATGACCAGAGGGTTCAAAGCTAAATAAATAAAAGAAGTGATCGTCAATGACCAGAGGGTTGTAAGAAGTAGTCGCTTATCGCTAGATCTCTTGTTCTCTTCCTCGAAGGCCCTGTAAGTTAAGTGCAGAACTTATCGCTTATCGCAATTTAGTAGATAGAAATGTCAGCAATAAATGCTGCTTTTTTTTGTGAGGAAGCTGCTATTCAGCGAAAGTTGACGATATTTTGAGAAGATTAAAAAACAGTGTTGTGTTTTTATGTTTTGTTTTATTATTCATATTAAAAGTCAGATTCCACTATCTGGAAGAGTGATTTGATCGTTTGAAGGCGGTGGAGTGGGGAAAGACGTATGAAAATCCAGTGGCGTAAATTCACTTTTATTTCAACGTAAATTATTTTATATTTTTTAAATATTATTTGTTCGAAATAGGTCACAATATATTTATTTACAGGTTTTTACTGACGTTTCGATCTCTATATCCAAAGACCGTTTTGATGATGAAATGATAGTTATTTTTATTTTATATTTTTATTATTATTATATATTTATAGAATCTTATATTATTTATTTTCTGTTTTTTCTAACTTTGTAAACCGTTATCACTAACATTTGTATATTTGAAAACGGTCTCTGGATATAGTAAATTAAACATATGAATAAATATTTTGTGGCTTATTTCCTACATTCCCCTAATAATACAGAATGCCACAAGCAAAAAGCTATAACAAAAACAAGTAAATTTGCAGAAAGCTTGTTGATTCTACCCGGCTGTCACGGAAGTTAATGAGTTAAACAATTAATTTTTTTTTAATAAATTTTAAGATAATTTCCACACCACTCCAGATGTATATTTTTTGGTGCGTTACATTTTTAAATGGGTTTTCGTCAAGAGCCATATTGTCACAATAAATAAAATGAATAAAAAATTTAAACAATGTAAAACAAAACAAAATAAAAAAATCCTATAAAAAGAAAATAAAAATAATTTCCAATGTAACAAAACATTGTACTATTTTAATTATTTAAACACAAACAATAAACTTTGTTCAAATAAAAGGCAAATATCGAGCACAGTTTATTTAATTTAATCTTGCCCAAGTAGAGCTTGGGCAATCTTTCGCTCCCTAGAGCATCTTTAGAGGCATTTCGTCAATTGTAGCCTATCCGACAAGAATAAAATGTTATAAACATAAAATGGTACATCACACTACACTACACAAGGACAAACACTGTAGTATTTGTCCTTGGTGTACAGGTACGGTACAGGTACCTTTGTACAGTGTCCAAAACACTGTAATGGGTTAGTCACCCTTTCATAATTTAATAAATTGTTTTATTAAGTACTATATTTATAATTTAAATGTTTTTAGTCTGAAGAAGACAGGCAGGCACTTCTTCGCGAAAGGGCGAAGAAGCTTATTGCCGATGCCAGAAGAGGTTCCGGTTCAACTACAGAGATCATTAGAATAAGTCCGGAGACTATGAGAGCTTACATGGAAAGCGAAGAAAAAGTGAAAAAGTTAGATAACGAGAAGTTATTTGAACGCCAGAATAGTACAGGTATTTAATCGTTTAAATGTTGGCTTCCTTTAAATTATAATTATTGTATATTATTGTTTATCCGCAGTATCATTAAAATAGTATTACAAATAAACACCATATCTTAAACAATACTTTTATAATTGAAGGGTCAGAAAGGAATGGAAATGTATACTCAAATAATGTAAATAATATAGAAGATCCTTCTATCAAATCTAGTCCAATAGAAAATGGTAGAGAGAGAATCACTCCGGATAGGTTACCAGATGAACTGGGATTAAAGGAGGTAAAGTATTTCTAAATATTCTTTTAGAATAATTTATATTGAATTTGGTTTTTAGTTTAGTTTTAATTCGGAGTGTGTATATTTTATTCTTTATATATCTACTTTTCATTTTATTTATTACTCTGATGAGATGCCTACTTTCAAAATTGGGTGTGGCACGTTAAGAAGATGTATTACTTGTTCACCCTCTGCTACAAGTTGGTGAGCTCATTTATATTTACTTTTATCAGCGGCGAAGCTATTTACCCGTACTCTTATTAATAGTCTGAGGTGGTATTTCGTTTATATACAGGATGCGGCAATAATGCTTCGTGATACATCGTTATAAACAAACTGATAAGTTATTCTTTATTCTTTATAAGTTAATATTACTTAATTGTTAGGCCACTTGTTACTACACTATAATAAAAATCTTATAAACTCATTTTCGTATCTATAGGCTGAAAAAACTACCAGGATGGATCAAACTTACTGTTTTTAATGGAACACACTACATTTTTTTTAAAATCTAGCTCAAATTAATTTCGTCCATACTTTCAATCATTATTTTCTTTGCCTTTACCCTTTGCGGGATCGGCTGTTTCAATTACATTTCTCCATAAGTTTCTATCTTGGGTCATACCAATATCAATCCTTGAGGTCGATGAATGTCGTACTTAAGCGTCTCCACAGGTCTTCTTTGGTCTCTCATCCCAAGAACGTGCAAATTAGCAATTCGTCCTATAAGATGATTAACTTCTCATTATCTTGACGTTGAATATGCAGGAGCAACCTAACTTATGCTCTCTCATTTTGGCACCAATTGGTGCCATCTTCCCTATATTCGTTCTTAATTTACCTCTATTATTTCAGTTTTTCACCGTTTTATAACCATATAGAGTTTAGAAATTGTATTTTTTCCCATTCCAGATTATAATATCTCTGAATAAAATATTTTTTAATTTCCAGATGGGTATAGATGTTCATTCGTGGATTGACAAAGAAATGGAAGACTTAGAACGAGAACAGCGCTCCATAGATGAACAAGCTGCCAATTTGGAAAAACAACTACGATCGGTTATGGAATCGAGAGATAGTAATGGTGAGGAAGAGGAAGCGCTAATGGCAAAATGGTTTATGTTTGTTAACAAGAAAAATGCTTTGCTCAGGCGGCAGATGCAACTTAATATTTTGTAAGTATTTTTTTAAAACTTATTGGTTCGTTTTGTCGACATTAAAATTTTAATAATTGGGAACATTAATAGAAGTGATAGTGTTCATTCTTATTAATCCTTTGAATCGACTTTCTAGAAAAACTAACAGTATGTTCTCTCATGAACAATGTTTCTTAAGATATATAGTTCCACAGTAAAACTATTGTTATTCTAGACGCAACATGTAACTGTATGGATCGTGAGTCATCGACAAAACGTGTTTTGCAGAAACGGTCATAGATCTAGATAACGCACTGTATATATTACGGGGTTATAATAATATATAATAGTAGTGGAAGTTTCTAAAACAGTTTAAATTCGATTAAAAGTTTTATGGCAGTCAAGTTTTGCGATTTACGTAGTTTATTTTTTATGTTTAATTTTGTGTAGTTTTCGATGTCTTGAGAAATTATCAAAAATAGTAACAATATTTAAATTTTACATCTTTTCATATGTTTTTCAATAATTTATCGGCACAAAATTACTAATCTCGATTAATTATTTGTTTTAGGGAGAAAGAAGCGGACCTTGAAACAAGGTATAAAATGCTTAATGAAGAGTTGCAGAAAATAGCGTCAATTGAAGACTGGAGGAAAACGGAAGAGCAACGGAACAGAGAACAAGTGTTGCTAGAGGAATTAGTTCAAATAGTTAATAAGAGGGACGAATTAGTTCATCATTTGGATAGCCAAGAAAAAGCGTAAGTTGAATTTAACTGTCAAATTGTTTCAAATATGTAACTGCTTTGTGATCGTTTCTAATCATATTCTCCATTCATTTTTGTGCATAGTCTTTAAAAGTTTGTTTACACTGCTATACATTTATTACTTCTGTGTTAACCGAAATCAAATTGGCAAAATGAAATTAGACTGTCTAATTCAATTTTGTCAAGAGCATGAAATGCTAATTATATACATACGTTAATCCAGTACTGTAGACCTGGACATCACCAAAACATAGTGCATGTCAAACCGTATCAAACCAAATGTACTACTTGAAGAATATTACTAGACATAAAAAGATTATTAACTCAATAAAGGCATACGCCTTTGCATGCGTAGCATTAAACCATAACCCCCTTACAGCTCAAATAAAAATAATATACACATAAATGAGTAATGACAAAAGCGAATAACATCATAATAGACCACAACGAACTATACAAACTCTGGCAAACATATATACTAGACGTCTTCAGTCACGATCTTAAATTAAGTACTCCGAATAAAAATACATATTTAACTAGCCCACCAATATTAGAATCAGAAGTGGAATATGTGATCGCAGGTTTAAAAAATAATAAAGCTGTAGAACCCAACAACGTAAATGCAGTAATAGTCAACTCTTCAATTTCAAGTACCTAGGAAAACTCTAATAACATGTAACCTAGTGAAAAAATACCATTACATTGGCTGATGTCAACTTTCGTAGCAATTCCAAAGAAGCACAACGCCAATTGCTGCGAGATCATTGCCTAATCAGCTGAATGAGCCACGTACTCAAAGCATTTTTAAAACTAATTCATAAGCGGATTTGTAACAAATGTGAAGAGAGAACGGGAGACAAAACAAGTTTGGTTTTAACTGCGGTTTAAGAACATGAGAGGCGCTTTTTTGCACACAGTTATTGGTGTAAAAATTCTATGACCAGAGAAGGGATGTCTTTATTTGCTTTATCGATTACCAAAAAGATTTTGACAATGTAAGACACGATGTGTTAATACCAGCGTATAATTATAATCTGTAGAGTAGGGAGGGTCAGTTAAGTCCCACAGCTCTCAGGCTACAATTGACCTATTGTACATCCTCACAGGGAGCTTTTATCCTTAATTCATTGTCGATCCTGCCATTTCTATGAAGGTGGACGTCATCAGTGGACATCTTCCTTATGTGGGCTAAGGCTCATCGAACGCATACTCTCTTATTAACGATAACTCCGGGCATTCACATAGGACATGCTCTATAGGTATGTCTACTAGCCCCAGTGTGTGGAGGTGTTTTCGTTGACAATGACCAGTTAAAAAACCAACTGCCAAGCGTAAGTTTTTCCTAGTCTCTTTTAGGTACGTCTTTGATGCTGACTTTTCAAGGTTGACAATTTGACAATTTCCACGTTTGTTATATTTGACCAACCAAAAAGATCCCCAGGTACTATGAGTCTTGGTCTGCCGCCTTTCTAGCTAATTGGTCAGCAATTCAGTTGCCATTATTCTTATTGTGTCCTTTAACCGACCTCAGGTTGATGTTATTACCATTCGAACCAACTCGTGATACCTCATTACTAACACTGATGTGCCACGTGCTCTATTCAAGGTTAGTAGCGCTTATCTGCTATTCGTGCAGATTATTATGGCTTTCCCGGATATACTATTTTGGGTTATAATACGCATTTGCCACGTTTGACTCCCCATACTGTCTTGTTTCGATTTTGTAGGGTTTGTCAAAAATAATCTTATGTTTAATTTTGCCACCAGCGCCACCTTTGATATATATATGTCTAGAGGGGCTATGGCAATGAGCAACTTTATTGCAGCAGTTGGTGTTGTTTTCATGGCAATTGTTATATTTAGGCAAGCTTTTCGCTGAATATGGTCTAGTTTGTTAATCGCTGTTGCCTGTAGCACTTTTTTTATTCAAGCAATAGCTCCGTAACTTAGCATTGGCTTAATGACAGCAGTGTAGATGGGACAAAGGGCCCAGATGCGTCCCACCGTTCGTCGACACTTCTCATAAGCAATATATGCTCTTTTAGCTCTACTATCTAAGTAGGAGTTCCACGTTAAGTTCTTGTCAAGGGTAATACTAAGGTATTTCACCTCGTCAGGCAAGTTTAGACTGTAGTTTAGAATCCTGGAGGATTTAAGTCCATTATTCTTCTTTTTTTGGTGAAGAGGACCATCTCCAAATTCTTAGGATTTATAGATGGTGAGTGTTCCTTGCACTATGTTTCTGTCACTCTGAGAGCCACTTGTGACCTTTCAAATAGTGTGTTCTCAAATTTAGCTCTTTGCAGGACAGCAATATCGTCTGCATAGACTATTGTGTAGAACCCGTTGCTGCTGAGTTGGTCAACCAGGGTGTCTAGAACTATGTTCCAGAGGAGTGGTGATAGCTTCCCTCCCTGTGGACATCCCTTTGCAACCATGCCTCTAACAGAAACGTCTTCTACATTCATGTTTATTGCTCTATTAGAGAGCATACTGAACATCCGTTCATTCGCGGCCAGGTGAATATTCCCGACATTGAGCTGTTGGGTGATGGTTGAAAATGTGGTTTTATCAAACGCTCCCTAATGTCTATGAATATATCTAGAGTGGATTATTTATTTTCTAACTATCTAACTATCAATTCTTCCCACTACTTGATGCAGTGCAGAATCGGTAGATATGCCCTAAGTATATGCAGGCTGATTTGGGTGAAGTGGGTTATGAACCAGAATCTCTTATATACCTGTCGCATAGCATTTCGATCGTTTTCCAGAGAAACGATGTTAAGCTATTTGGTCGGAAAGCCTTTTGTAGGATGTAATCCATTCTACCTGATTTTGGTATGAAGACCACACGTACCTCTCTCCACTTCCTAGGAATATACCTCAGAGCCAATCGCAGACAATGAGGCTCTGAATATTCCCACAGGTGGGAAATAATATCATGTATTCCGATACCATTATTGTATAAAATCTCAACAACAACTGTCAAATATTATTAAGCAAAATTGGAAAAATTATTAAAGCATATGACATAACGCTCATCATAAGCAAAGCTATAAATATAATATTACATACATTCTACTCTACTGTATGGTATAGAGGCTTGGTCAGAGAATAAATGCTGGTGCGATCAGATACAAGCATTCGAAATGTCGATTCATATAAGAACTGCTAAAATATGCGGTAATGAAAAATAACTAATTTATAAATACTGAAGCGATGAAAATCAAAGTGAATTGCCGTTAACCAGCAAAGTTCGTAAGCTTTAATATCCTTGACATATCCTGAGGTAAATAAATATCATACAGTATATAATGCAAGGTAAGATTAAAAAGAAGTATAAGGAGAAGAATGCTATGACCAAGAAATATGCAGTTTTACTTAAAATTATGTGCTAGCTTGAGAAAAGGATAAGGAACCTGAAGAAGAAAAGGAAGACTGAAATATTTTTATCAGTCTTAATTATCAGTCTTAAAGTTATTTACTGTCTTTAATCTATGTACAATCTTCTAACAGTTATTTTATTCAGTCTTTATGTTGCAGTTATTTTAAACACTATTTAATTCATTTATGTGAACACTAAAACACAACTAAGTACTTAGTTTATAATATATACATTTATTTATTACTTAACAATACAAGTTCATTATTCAGACCAACTTCTTACAATCAAAATTTCCCCATATATATTTACGGAACCATTATTTGGAGTTTCTTCGAATGGGTTGTTTGACGAGTCAGAGTGCCGTTACATCGAACAACGTGGAACTGCTCCTAGAAGATCTGAGTCATTGAACGCCCACCTCCGATGTAATCATAGGCCAAGGGCTGACGTAACAAGACAAAAAACCAAATTGAATTAATAATCCAAAGTTGGCTACACTTACAAAAAAAAAATAGAACAACATACAAATGCCAACAAAACTGTAGGAGGAAAAATTAAAATAAATTCATAATTTTTGCTACCTGGGAAGCATGAGAACACATCAAATATGTATGACATCTTAAAAATAATTAATTTAGTAAAGCAAATGCTAAGGTAAATACGGGTACGAAAGGCAATAATGTTAAAGAAAAGCGAAAAGTATTTTTATCAAAAAGTCAAAACAGTAACTATGAATAAATGAGAAAAACAAATGTCTTCGATATTTCGTAAGAATAAGAACTGGTGTATTACCAATCATAGATTTTGTATTATTCTCTTTTTATAGAATTATTTGTATCCAAGTATATTTATAGAATCAGATTCATGTTTCCCGGTGACAAAACATTGCGTTTTATATTTTTTTCGGTTGCTTAGCCGTTCGGTTACTTGAATTGGCAATATCTGGTCCCGGTAAAGACTCTAAAATCTAGTGCATCCATATATTCATAAAATCTGCATTGTGTAATAATATATTTATTAAAGTTTTTATATTTTTTAGGATCGAAGACGACGAAATAATAGAAAAAGATTTATCCCACATCGAGTTACCGGCAAAAGTTGGCAACTGCGTGATATCCTAATTTATTTTCATTTGGTTCATTAGTCAAAGAAAAGTGTTTGGTATGATTTGAATTTTTGTCAACTCGAAATGCAAACGTTGGTGCTTCTTGTGATATACTTAGTTAACCTTCCTGTTTAGTAAATACATTTATAATTGTCTCCTTTAATGTTATACTAATTGGATCACAGCTGTAATGTAAAATAAAGAAAGCTTAGAATGGTATTTATAGAAATTAAAAACAATGTTGCCAAAAATAAATTACACATTTTTACTTTACAATACAAAAATTTTACTGTTGGGTATTTCTGTGGAGTGAGCTCAGTGGAAAAAAGTTTAATATGTGAACAAATAAGGAGTTAAAAACGTTTACGTAGACGAGTATTCACGAAAATACTTTTATTGTGGCATATATATATATATATATATATATATATATATATATATATATATATATATATATATATATCAATATTACTTTCATCAGTTCTCACATAAAAAATAATGTCAAGTTTATTTTATGCTTTAATTGCAGGTATAAGAATTAAAATTATTTACTGTATAGCTGGATATTGTTCAAGCTGTATCCTTTTTGTTTCTTACCTAGTAATCTATATAATACCCAGCCACTGCTAAAGATTCCTATCGATATTGGAGTTAAAGTCATTATACCACTGTCTGTATCAACAAATAAACTGACAGAAGATCTAGAAGATATTTTCTAAAAAGTTTTTTTAAGAACCTTATTTGTCACCTTTATGTGTTTCGTAGAAAACTCTAAAGATTTTCATTAGCGCAATAACGGCGACTGTGTAGATTTACACCATTTATATAAAAAAGAACGTTCATCTGAAAAACAAATAATAAATAGAAAATGTGGATTACTATTTATTGTCTCAGTCATAATCTCACAAAGCCGTAGTCGCCTGTCTGGATCATCTTCATCTATTCTCTGTACCAACTGTATTTTGTAAGGATTAAATTAGTAATCTTTCAATAGTCTGTGGTCAGTGGTATTAAAAAAAACTATTTTTGGACTATTTTTTAGTACTTGAAGTAGGTTCAAAATTAAATGACCTAAAATTGCTACTTCAGCCGCTTCAGTCCTTTTGTCATGAGCGTAAAAAACAAGGTTTTTACACTCCCTTTTTTTTTATCCGCTATTAATCCCGTTTCGTGAATTTTTTTAATTAGTTTTATTACGTATGAGTGATGAAGTTGCTTATCTTGATGAAGTTAATGCTCTGTGTAGTTGATCAAAATTTAGAAAGCCGTTCCCAGCCTTGACGACTAATATGTTTTCACAAGAAGTTAATATGAAAAGAGAAATCATGGATGTCTAAATGCTCCAGCGAGATACCTGTCTAATGATACCTGCCACACATAATCTATTCCCTATATAAAATTAAGGATTTGTGGTACTGGAAGTGAGAGGTTGACAAATGACGGATGTCTATATTGTAAAAGATGAACCTTTTCAAATAAAAATCAATCCGTTTCAGTGTTTTCACAAAATTTCCATAAAAGATAAAATGTTATTTCGAATTAACAAACGTTATTGGTATTACAACTAAACTTAAGATCGTTGAGCAGAATGACTTACTGCGTTGTGGTATGAGTACTTAATTTGAGTCACGTTGCGGCCAGAAATTTTTCCGACGTCCTACTAAAAGACTTTCAGGTAGAATTCACGAGTGAATGGAATCCATTAGTCCTATATGGTTCTCAATCCTATTCGAACTCTGGCCTTATATAGATTGCCAAGGAGATCTCTTGCGTTTCCATCCACACCATCCTCCCATATTTCTCTTGGTTTCCCAATAGATATCTTTCTCTGGATTCTTGCAATCAACAGTTTTTTTAGAAGCCTGTTTTAAAGCCTATCCTAAATACGTAGCCTGCCGATTAAAGACGTTGCAGGCGAACATACTGAGACAAAGTTGTTTCGTTATATATTAGAGAGAAAAATGGAACAAACAAGAGTATATATAGAAAAGTAATTCGATTGTCCATTGTGCACTATATATGGCTATGATAGCAAAAATGTTTGCAATAAATGACAGTATTCTGCAATTGATACAAATATGTTATACATTCGGAACTGCGAGTATCAGGTACCTATGCAATATTTTTCCTTAGTGTCTTATAGTTCGTTTTTCTGAATATCTGTCATCTTATGAGTTATGTTGATTACGTAAGAGAGTAAATTATTTAACTGGTATCATAATCAAATAAGTATCAAGTATTAGAAACGAACAACTGATAATATTGATTTAAATATAAGTTAAATAAACAGGCTCTTTATTAGTGAATGTTCAAGAGGAGTATAAATACAGCAGGGAACATCTTGAAGAGAAATTCGTAGGGATCAGAATATAAAAAATAAAATTAATATTAACTCTTAGTGGGTCGTTATAAATGTAACAACAATTTTAATATCTATTAATACTTTTCTAAAGGAAATAAAAATAATTCGAATTATACCATTCAATATTATACCTATGTTTGATTTAAACTTTAGGTTTTCATCTTTTTATAAATTAAATTTTTTTGAAAAGCCATTATTTTGAGTCTTGAAATTAAAATTAAACGTATGTATGCAATGTTTCAAAACTTTTACCAAGGAAATAAAAATTTCAAATGATATTCAACTCAGAACAAATGCAAACCTTATGGTACGTTTTCGTTAGGGTAGGTGTGAAATTAAATGGAAGTTGCGGTCATTGTTTTTTTTTTTGGACTAATTGGTTATAATTTTTATTATGATTTTAGTATTAAATTTTTTTTCTATATTTCGAAGATGTAAATATTTAAACTTTTTTACAATGAAAGTGGCTACTACTAATAATAATCATTCTGTGAAAGTAGCCCAATTACTCACCCAGAACGTTAAGCTTTTACACCCTTCTATGATAAGGACTATTCTTCGATGCGTCATTTTATCTAATAAACTGTTTTACGTTGGAAAACTCATTATATTTATATCAATTGGACGAGATCCTGTCCTTCCTGTCATCAGCGTTCCTGTGTCGTTGATATTCAGCTGTCATACCAACGTTCTGGGGCCTACCATCTAGATTTTGGTTTTTGGCCCACTTTGCAATTAGATCTGCATCCATTCGTTCTACGGAGTCTTCAATAGCTGAGCCTTGCTCTGACCAACTCATAGCCTTCTGCAGTTATAATTCTCTTAGATTGTCTTTGTTTCGTATTCTATCATTTAATGGATTTCCTTTTACTGTTCGTAAAATTTTCATCTGTGTGGTTCTAATAATTTTTGTTTCTGATATTTATGCTCTAGTCTCAACAGCGTAAGTCGGTATGGACCTGACGCAAGTCCTATAAATGTACGATTTACTTTTGTCATGTGGATTATTTGTCAATTTTTTTGAGACGCTAATGGCCGAATTGCTAAATCTGAACGTCTGCGGTCCCTCTGGTTTCTCCATATTATTTCCCGTAAAATCCTTGATATTCCTGCTACTGTTTTGAACTGATTGTCCACTTCATTCATTATACTTCTATTGCTCGATGTCTCTACCTCTAAATAATTGAAATTCATCATCTGATTTATACATTATTTGCTCCATTAATATGTCCAAAAGGCATGGGCTAAGCCTATCTCCCTGCATGATGCCAGATGATACTTAAGTTCTTTTTGTAGACGCCATTCAGTTCTTATTCTTCTTTGTATTTTCTAAAATATAATTTGCCTTACTAGGTTTATATGGTCCTTGTTTTGGTTTAATTGATCAAATACATCCTCAGCTTTACCCTGTCAAATGCTTGCTACAGATCTATGGAACATGTGTACATAGACTTATTGAACTCTATGGATTTCCCTTTTTCTTTGGCTTAGTATACATTTGCATTTATTGTGGATCTATTTGGGCAGGAATCTTGCTATTCTTTGGAAGTTATTTTATTTGCTATTATTTTTAATATTAGTTTTAGCACACTATTAAGTAAAGTTGCGTCTCTGTATTTCTTCGTTGTTAAAGATTTTGAGCTTTTTTCTGCATTGGTGTAGTTATTCCAGTTTTCCATTCAACAGGTATTATAGTTCGTTCCATTTTACGTATGGTTTTATTAGTTCTTTTTCGATTACTGGGCCTTTGTATTTAAGCAGTTTATTTGGAGTATTATCTATACTTGGTCAATTTTGGTTCGTCAGTTTTTATATAGTTGTTCTTTTATATCATGTTCCAGATCTTCTGAGCTCCGTGTAAATCGTGTTCCATTTTTATCGATATGTTTTTCCAGCATGTTTTTGGACTTCTTTAATTATGTTATTTGTTCTATTTCTCACTTTTTTGCACTTCGTATTCTTCATGAGATCTGTTAATGTATTTTATGTAAACGTTCTTTCTTTCTCTTGCCAGTTCTAAGATTTCTGGGATAAACGAAGGGTTATTATTTCTGTTATTTGTGTTTATTTTTCTTTTTCCCACGGTTTCCTTGGTACTGTTCTGTATATTATCCTTTACTTTCTCACATGCTATGTTTTGATAAAGATTTCTACATTTACGTAACGTTTTAAAACCTATTATTTAAAAAGATGGGATACCTGAAGAGAAAATTGTTGGTTTACAAAAGACATCGCTTTAAATAGTTTGTATAGACAAGCAAAGTCTTGGCTACTTTTTGTTATTACTCACATGTTTTATTTGCTTGCTTAATAGACCGATTGGCAAGATTATTTTGAACTAATTGCTGTGCAATATTTTATAAATTGAATTTAAGGAGCCGTTTAAAAATCTCCTCCTGCCTTTGTTAACTATTTTCTGAAACAGAAAACTAAATTAATACACTTTTGGATAACTGAACTAAGGTACATGTTTTTTGTACAAGTGTAGTTTTTATAGTGTTTTAGTGATATTATCATTAAAATGGCGAACGAGTGCCTCTTAAATAAAAGATAATTTTAAATTGTACCATACAGTAAATATGGAACCATACAGTAAAATTGTACCATACAGTAAATAAAAGTAATGCAATATTTCCCTAATTCGTAGATTTTTGTTCAATTAAAATGGGGTGAAACACCAATAATTAATTTAATATTTGACATACTTCCTTTTTTCTTTAATAACATTTGCCTAAAATTCTTATCATCGACATTTTTCATATTTTTGACTGATGCCAATAAAGAAACAATGAATTCTGCGAGAATTTTTAAAATTGTAAAAATTAATTCAACTTATTTTTATAAAAGCGAAGACTAGTAAATTAGTAGGGGTAAACTTTTGTTT